GGGTTGGGTCATGTTGGAGAACTGGAAAACGAGCAGGTGTGGTCCCGGGAATTACATGTTAGGGTTTAAGGTGTGGATATGGGAGTGGCGTAGGATTTTATAGTTCCGTAGGTTGGGGCACAGGGAGGAGTTTCGTTAGGGTGTTGGTGGGGTCAGCCAGGGGAATGTTAACAATTCCCAGATGTCAAGGCTGGGAGTAATAAGGGAGAGTGCTGAGACAATGTGTAAAATCAGATAGCCTGTATATTAGAGGCTAGTTTCTGCATAAGTCGGAGGGAGCAGAGATCTTACAAGGAGATATATTAGATCCTGGAGGATGTGACCAGGAGCCTGGTGGTGTCTGTAGTGATTATGCGTTGAGATGTTAATTGCAAGGTCGGCAGTTTGAAATCATCAGTGGCTCCTTGGAGAAGGAAGAGGCTTTCTACTCCCTTAAAGAGTCAGTCTTGGGAACTCACTGGGGCAGTTCTGCCCTGTCTTGTAGGTCATTATGATTTGATGAGGCTGATGTGAAACACGTCCTTTCAAACGGACCGTCTAACACTAACATGTGTAAAGACGGGCATGCTGCCCGTGGGGGCGTGATGCTTCTAGAAGTAGTGAGTAGGGTGCCCACCTCTTCTCCCTCAGGCTCTTCGCTCTGTCTTTCCACAGCTCCCTCCCAGTCCTGCGGCACCCACTGCCGCCTTCAGAGCCAGTGCTTTGTAGAGGTTCCCGGAGCTAAGCTGTCCTATGGATTCTTCACTAGCCATACACAAGTTGAGGACTCCTGAATGCATCTCCCTAGTCTCTTAGCTGGTCTCAATAACATCTAGTACGCACCCTCGACTTTCCAGTTTCTGAGAAAGCACTACCCCTTACTTCCGAAGCTTTTCTTTCTTCCTTTTTTTAAAATCACACCCTTAAAACATTATTGCTTTATTTTTTTGAAAAAAATCATCGAATAGTCTATTTAAAATTTTTGAATTGGCCTCACGATGACCTTAAAAATCCAAAATTCACATATTGCATTTTTCTTTCATTATTATTATTTTTTAATTAATCATTTTTGACTGAGCTGAAGCAGGTCAGGGCCCCACTTCCCTGCAGGTCCCCAGAGGTCAGCAGCTGCCCCC